ACATGGCATTCTCCCTGTATATAAGTCTGTTTGTAAATTTCCCTCTTTTATAAGGGCACGTGTCATGTTGGATTAGGACCCATTCTAATGACTTCATTTTAATCTGATCGCCTCTATAAAGACCCTATCTCCAAATAAGGTCACATTCTAAGGTACTGGGAGTTAGAACTTCACTACATGATTTTTTTTTTTTTGATGGGGGATAATAATTCAATCCATAACACCTGATGGAATGGTTTATTATTTATTCAAAAAATGTTTACTACGTGCCTATGGGAGCCTTGGGCTATGCCAATAAACAAAAAAAATCCCTTCTTTAGGGAATTTACATTCCATCCACTAGCAAGGAGACAAATAAACAGATGACTATACAATGTGTGGAGGGGTGATTAAAAGCCGTGTAGGAAGATGAAGGAGGGGAAAGGATGGAGAGTGCTGGAGTCTGGGGACAGAAGGTGAGGGTGGGGAGGTGTTGCTATTTTATGCAGGGCGAACAAGGAAAGGCTTGATAATGTTACATTTGACCAGAGTCTTGGAGGAGATAAGGAGAAGTGGTCTAAGTTAATTATAATTTGTTTTACTTATTTAATTGTCTTCTTCCACCAGAATGTAAGCTCCTTGAAAGCAATAAATAATACAGTTGATCTATAACATGCCAGTGCCTAGATCCATGTGCGGCATTTACAGGGCACGCAATAAAATATTCACTACTAAAAATAGGGAAGAGTGGTCCAAGCAGAGGGAACAGTAGGTACCTAAGGCCCTGAGCTGGGAGTGTGCTTGGAGCAGCTGCAAGGAGGCCATTCCAATTAGGTCTGACAGTGAAATAGCCACAAATGGAGATGAGATTATAATGGTGGGATGGCTTTGGGATTGAGGCATATTGTAGGGCTTTGCAGGCCATTTTAATACCATTGGCTTTAATACTGAATGAAGTGAGAAGCCACAGGAAGTCTTTAAGCAGATGGGGGACATGGTCTGATTTATGGAGATGAAGGGAGGGAACTATGTTTAGAGCCTCAGAGAAAATCAGAAATAATAATCTCATTCAGAGACTTGCAGTGTATTTCATTCTCTGGGTAAACCTAGTAAAATTTCCATTATTCCATAGCCAAGGCCATTTGATCGCATTGGGAACCATTTATTACTGAGGGGCCATGGTGGCATTTGGCACCTCTGGAATAATTTTTTTTTGATTTAGTTCAGTTCTATTTGTTTCTTTGCTTTAACCCTAAAGGAAATTTCAATTTTGCAGGTATAAATTTTATTATTAAGATGTTGAAAATACTGGCCCTGCTCATGCAGAAAATGGTTAACTTTTCACCATTTATTTCTTGAAAAGCTGTTTCCTTGGGGCTGGATACCAGGCTGTGCTGACTGTTCTTGTTCTTCGTGGCAATTTAACCCAATTTTAATTGTATAATGCCTGTTTCCTCTTCTAGACCTTCAGCTTCTTGAGGTGAGGGCCAGCTCTGAATCACAGTGCACACAAAATTGCTAAGTAAATATTAGCGGAATAAGTGAATGAATGAACCGAATGGATATCCTAAATCAGAAGCACCAGTCCTTGTTTTAAGTATCTTGCTGGAAAGTCACTGAGTAGTGAGGAGGATGAGGTTACGCAGGACTGCAATTTCAGATACCAGACTGTTTCCAATGACTCACTTGACACTTCATTGCTTGAATGACTTTCCTATGGAACTCAACATGTTTCCAGATACAGCTGGTTTTTATAATAGTCTAACCAAAATGAGCTGGGAAGTGAAGTATAATTTTTTGTGCATTTTCTGGTTTACAGTTTCCTTCTAAGTAGCATGGATATTTGTACAGTCCCAGATTGGGAATGTGTTGGCAAGACAGGTAGCCATTTGGAAGTTTTGTTTTTAATTATACCTTTTTTTTGTTTTTTTGGCTGCGTTGGGTCTTCGTTGCTGCACTTGGGCTTTCTCTAGTTGTGAGTGGGGGCTACTCTTCATTGCAGCGCGCGGGCTTCTCATTGCGGTGGCTTCTCTTGCTGTGGAGCACAGGCTCTAGGCACACGGGTTTCAGTAGTTGCAGCATGCAGGCTCAGTAGTTGTGGCATGCAGGCCCTAGAGTGCGCGTGCTTCAGTAGTTGCGGAGTGTGGGCTCAGTAGTTACAGCTCGTGGGCTCTAGAGCACAGGCTCAGTAGTCGTGGCGCATGGGCTTAGTTGCTCTGTGGCATGTGGGATCTTCCTGGACCAGGGCTCGAACCCGTATCCCCTGCATTGGCAGACGGATTCTTAACCACTGAGCCACCAGGGAGGTCCCTACACTTTTTAATTTTTGAATGTATTCATTTTCCATTACTACTACAAAAAATTACCACATATTTAGTGGCTTAAAACAACACAAATTTATTGCCTTATAGCTCTGTGGGTGAGAGTCTGACTCAGTCTCACTGAGCTAAAATGAGGGTATCAGCAAGACTGTGTTCCCTTCTGAAGGCTCTAGGAGATAATCTGTTTCCAAAGCCAGTAATGCCTGGTTCTCACATTGAATCACTTGATCTTCTGCTAGGGCCATATTTATGACTGATGTTTTCTGCCTCCCTCTCACTTTTTACTTTTGTGATTACATTGGGCCCACCCAGATAATTGGGGATAATCTCCCCATTTTAAGGTCATCTGATTAGTGACCTTAATGCCATCTGCAACCTTAATTCCCCTTTGCCATGTAAACTAACATATTCATAGGTCTTGGGGGATTAGGAATGTGGACATCTTCAGGGTGGCCATTATTTGGCCTGCCAGAGGGGATAATTTTAAAATTACAGAAGAGTTGCAAGGTACAGACAGTTCCCGAATATCCTCCTCCTAGTTTCCTTAAATGTTAATATCTTATATAACCGTACACAATTGTCAAAACTAGGAAATTAACATTGGTACAATATCTTTAACTAAAGTCCAGACTTTATCTGGCTTTCATCAGTTTTCCCACTATTGCCTTTTGTGGTTCCAGGATCCAATCCAAATACCCCATTGCATTTAGTGGGAGGGTGTTTATGGCCTTCTTGTTAGTGTTTCTGCAATAACTAGACACTGAAGCAGTCAAGTCAAAGTTATCATGATACTTGTGCAGGCAGTATTGAAAGTTGCTGACCAAGGATAATACTTTTCACATTACATGTACAATAAGCAGTTTTCAAAGGACTGCTACTTCAACTAATGCATTACATATTGTTAAAACCATTCCTATTATTATTTTCTGATTTATGATGCTTTCTTAGCAACATGATGATATTTGCCTAGGAACACTGGTTTCTAGTGAAACTTTTTATTTCAAGCCATGCAAAAAATACAAAAGGTAGGGAATATTAAATTTCACAAACAGGATTGCCTCAAGGTAAAGTAAGTTGCTTCTTGGTCTATCAAGAAAGTTCTGGAGAGATGCTCACAGTTTTTGCTAGGTCACTTTGGGGTAGGTAGACTGTGTGATTTTTGTATAGGCGAAATTAAAAAGTACTTTGAGGCTGATTTGGTGCCTGACTCTCTTTTTGCTATAGTAATTTAAAAATAAAATTATACATGTAATTCATATTTATTGCAGAAAAATGAGAAAACATGTAGGAAAAAACTATTTTTAATCATGCATGGGGACTTCCCTAGTGGCACAGTGGTTAAGAATCCACCTGCCAGTGCAGGGGACAAGGGTTCGAGCCCTGGTCCAGGAAGATCTCACATGCCACAGAGCAACTAAGCCTGGGTGCCACAGCTACTGAGCCTGCGCTCTAGAGCCCGTGAGCCACAACTACTGAGCCCGTGTGCTGCAACTACTGAAGCCCGTGTGCCTGGAGCCCATGCTCCGCAACAAGAGAAGCCACCAAAATGAGAAGCCCGCGCATTGCAACGAAGAGTAGCTCCGCTCACCACAGCTAGAGGAAGGCTGTGTGCAGCAACGAAGACCCAATGCAGCCAAATATAAATAAATTTATTTAAAAAACATGCATGACCTCATTTCCCAAAGATAATAATTGCTAATATTCTTTTAGCCTTTTCCCCCTTGGGCCATATATACATAAGTAGTATAAATATAATTTATTTTTGAAAATGGGTAATACTGTACATACCATTTCCTCTCAATATATCATGAACACATATTCATAGCATTGTTTACAATGGCTGCATAGTCATAAACTATATAATTTCAGAACATTTTTATCACCTCATTTTTAGCTAGGCTTCTCAGGTATCTTGTGTTTTAGTATATTTTCCCGTAATTATTCTGCAAGTTCAGGGAACTTGTTGGCAATAAAAGTTGTTAAAGTATATGTAAGACCTCTATAGTACTTTTCAGAGTGTATTGGCACATATTGTTCATATTAAGGAAATAACAGTGATATCTATCTCATAGCGTTATTTGAAGAAATAGAAAACAACCCATAATTGGGTTGAGTTATTATTACTGACGTCGTTAATAGTCCTGTATGGTTAGTATCATCATGATTCCGTATATGTATTTTAGATGAGGAAACTGACTGGAGAGGTGAAATAAGGACCCAAGGACGTCAATCTGGTAACCTCAGTTCATTTGACTTCAAATTCCATACTTTTGCCACTGCACCACATTGACACTCT